ATGTTTAGACCCATTTAGAAATTGTTGAAAACTCTTTCCTAAGCCCAAGTAAAAATTTAATGATTTTTATAAAACTAAGCCAGCAACTCAAATAGCAATTTTCCAAAATTAAACATTCAGCACAATATAATCCACAGATAAATGAATATGAAACTTGCCCGCTGAAGAATGATGATGGAGATATTAAGAGCCTTTGTTTTCCATAATTAAACAAAAATTATGTTTCTGTAAGAGCAAAAACTTGGTATGAACAGAAAAAAAGCACTGAATTCATAATACACAATAATTTAAAATCTGAGCTGAGGTACTCAGCTCACTGTGGTTGCACGGCTGGACGGCTTGTACAGTATTAAGTATGCAAGCTGTGTGCTCAGACCAAAGGCTGCAATGCTGTCATAATGTAACAGGCAATCGCTGCCAGAGACACCTCAGATACAGTTCACGTTTGATTTTGAATTAATTTTTGGATGTTGCACATTCATAAACCTTTTCACTGCTGGTCACTTTTTTGATACACCCAAATTTAGTTACATGGCCCCTCATGTGGTAAGAATCCAGGGCATAAATTACCATTCAAAGACCCAAGGCCAAGGTCATGTTCAAACTTCTCTTTAACCAAAGCCAGTTTTATTTTTTTTGTCAAGGCTTTGTTAAATAGCCAAGGTTTGCCTTGAACTTATGATCCCCTTTGCCTCAGCCTCCCAGGGGCTGGGATAACAGACATGTGCCACCATGTCCAGCTTGAGAAACTTTCAGTCTTCTGCTAAAATGAGCTATGCTAGTTTCTGTGTCTGAGTCATATATTATCAGATAACTCCTATCTCTGAGATATTTATCTCCTCATAAGGACAATATGCCTGCCTGGTATGCTATCACCAGGTATTATAAAATCAAATGAACTTTACTGCATTATAAAATCAAAATCAGAGCCCAGGAGTGGAGTGGGAGTCGGCCAGCGGGGCACCGGCAGCGCCGGGGAAAAGGGTGAGGGGACACTGCAGCCGGGAACCCGGGGCCGCGCCGCCACCGTCTGAACTAGGATGTCCCGACATGAAGGTGTCAGCTGTGGTGCATTTTTAAAAGGAAATTTTCGAAGTCGCAGATATAAGTGTTTAATGTGCTACGATTACAATCTTTGTGCATCTTGTTATGAAAGTAGGTCAATAACAACAAGGCACACAATGGACCTCCCGATGCAGGGCATATTAACAAGGGTAGATTTTGATTTGTGCTATGGTGGAAAAGCTTTCTCTGTAGAGTAGCCACAGACTTACTTGTCCCTACTGTGGAAAAATGGGCTATACGGAAACATCTCTTCAAGAACATGTTACTTCTGAACTTGCAGAAACATCTACAGAAGTGATTTGTCCAATATGTGCAGCGTTACCTGGAGTCTTGTCACAGATGACTTCGCAGCTCATCTTACACTTGAACACAGAGCCCCTAGAGATTTAGATGAATGGAGTGGTGTTCGACATGTACGTAGAATGTTTCACCCTGGTGGGGATGAGGAGGTCCTGGTGCTCGTAGATCAAACATGCACTTTACTAGCAGTTCTACTGGTGGACTTTCTTCTCAGAGTTCGTACTCTCCAAGCAATATAGGGAAGCCATGGATCCTATAGCTGAGCTTTTATCTCAGTTACCAGGAGTGAGACGTTCTGCAGGACAGCTTAGTTCTTCTGGCCCTTCCGCTTCTCAGTTACAACAACTGCAGATGCAGATGCCGCTGCAGCTAGAAGGGCAGCATGCCCAGGCAGCACGGCAACTGAGACCGCACGCAATGCAAGCCCGCTCACTAACACAAGCAGCGTCACCACTACAATCACACAGTTCACAGCATCCACCAACACAGCAAACACAGAAAGCAGTCAGCAGGCTCTCCAGAATTCCCAGTTTCTTTTAACAAGGTTGAATGATCCCAAAATGTCAGAAACAGAGCGTCAGTCCACGGAAAGTGAGCATGCAGACCACAGCCTGTTCGTCCAAGAACTCCTTTGTCCACTTTAGCGCGTGAAGAGAGCTCGGCCTCAGACGAGGATGAACCGGGAGAGATGGCAGATTTTGGTGCAGATTCTGGCTGTGAAGATATTATGCCTTTAGATGTTGCTTTAGAAAAACTAAATTTAAAAGAGAGTAATAAAGGAAATGAGCCTCTACCACCTCCTCTTTGATGACCTCCCAATTCGCAGTGTTCTCTGTGCTGTATTTGCCAATGAAAGTAGACAACAGCTATCCTGGGTTTGTTTGGTGACTGTAATTTCAGGTCTGTCACTCTTGTTACATTATGTACATTCAAAAGGAAGAGAGAAAAATATATACTATAATCATTTCCACTTAACTAATTTTTACTTCTAGCAGTTAATGTAAGGTAGCAGTGCAGGGTGGTCTTTGCTTCCTGTATCTTGACATGCAAAAGGTCTCCTAATACTCCACATTCAAACTGAAGAGGAAAATTGAAATCTCTAATGAAGCTGCTGTGTGTATTTATGAATATTAATGAATCAAAACTGCTTGGATGGTTTACCTTAAAAATAAAAAAATAAAATCAAAATCAGTACATATGTATATGGAAAAGTCCCAGGTGCTAGGACTTCTGTACCCAAGAAGAGTGGCCCTCCACAAGATGCTGAAGAAAGTGTTGGATATGCTAGAATAAAGTGTCCTTTAGGTCACATCCAAATAGATGGAGCAGTACAGAATGGACACTATGCTATGATCAGAATGCTCATTTCTCCTAAAACTTCATATGCTGAAATCCTAACATGGGCTGTACTAAGAAGTGAGGCTTTGGGAAGTGAATAGATCATGAAGGCATTAGAGTCAGTGCCCTTATAAAAGAGACCTGAGTAACCCTTTGTCCTTCAACATCTGAGAACCAAGCAACAAGGCATCACCTATGAGGAAGCAGGACCTCAGCAGACATGACATATCCCGACATCGTGATCACGGACTTCCTAGAATCTTGATCTCTGTTGTTTATAAGCTAACAAGTCTATAGTGTTTTGTGATAGCAGTTAGAAAAGACTGAGAGGATGGGCTCCTGAATTTTCTCTTCCATCTCTACAGGATACAGTTTTATGTGTTTTCCATTTCTTGGCTAAGCAGCATTGAAGCTATTTTAGTCATCTCATCTCTTTAACATTAACACTCAATTGGAAGGTAAGGATCTCAAAGTTGTTTTAGACTATGCAGTACTTTGACTGCTAAGGTTGAAATCCATCCTCCCACATAGTTTTATCTACTTTGAGGATCTCAGAGACTCCTTTGCTGATGGAACCTGAGGCTAGCTTTCTGTGCTATCCCTCACTCCCTGGGAGAAGCATCCCAGCTCCACCCAGCAGGCAGTGCCTTCAGCTCTGCGTCTTTCTTGCTCTGGGGAACTTGCTAAGCAACCAGGAGAGAAGAATTGTCCTTGAGCCTTAACAGGAAAGTCTTAACTCTTTTCCACCAGACCCTGACAAACATCTTGTCACCTCCACTGAATCAGACAGACATAAGAAGAAAGGGAACAGTACTTTCGAAGACCTCTCAGAACCCCAAATTGCCATACAATCAAAAGATTTCTGAACCAGTGACATGGCTCAGTATGTAAAAGTGCTTGTTGTACAAGCGTGATAACTTGAGTTCAATCCCAAAAACCCACAGTGGAAGGAGAGAATTGACTCTAAAAAGTAGTCCTCTGGCCTCCACATGTGCACTGTGGCACACACATGCCTGCACACACACACAAAAAAATAATTAATAATAATAATAATAATAATAGATTTTTTAACATTTCAAAAGTACACTAACAAAATAACAGGCAAATAAAACTTCAGAAACTCCCCACCCCACCACTCTGCTCCTATAAAATCCTTTCTCCTTCCAGAGTGTGTTTTCTCCCAGCCCTGATCCTTACCTTTAAAACAGGTGAAGAAAGACAAGAAAAGGTCAAGAAGGAAGTGAATGTTTATTACTACTGCTTTTACCATCCACAAGGTTGGTATTCCTTCTGGGATTTATGAAGGCTCCATAGGGCCAGATGTTACCTCATCCTATCCATTCTCAAAGGAACCCAGTAAGCCCCAGAGCCCCAGCTTAGAGAGCATGTTACCTTCCATGGAGAGCTGGTTAATGGCACCCTGACTTTGGGCCAATCCAGACATGCAAATTACTTCCATTTTGATGAACAATTTATAGACTCTGAATGATGTGATTCCAAATTACAAAGAGGTCAATTTCCTCATCTGTACCCCACTGCCGAGGAAGGTGAGTGAGCTTGAATAAGCCGAAAAGAGAGGAACACTGTGAACATGAATTGTTCCTGAAAGGAAAGACTGTTCACCCAGGCCTGTGCTGCTTCACTGAAAAGCAATCCAAAGACCAAGGAGGAGGTGATTGAATGTCTTCATTTGATGTGGCCAACCTGTCAGAAAACTCATCTGCTCATTTAAGAGACAGGAAATATGAATTTCAAATGCTGTTCTGTATGCAATTTAAAGAGGCAAGGCACAAGCATCATCTCTAAACAGGCTACTGCTATGTTTGGCATTGTATCCAGGAGGTCTGGCCGAGAACAGAGGGCAAAAGCTCAGAGCCTGGAACAAAGTGGTAGATAGGCAGAAGGGAAGATGAGGGAGTGGGTGTGGTGCTATGGCTAGCAGCAGCAGCAGAGAGGTACAGTAGGCAGAGGGCTACCAGACAGTGGCTGTAGGATTAGACAGAAGAGCACAGCTGACCTATGATGCCAAATAAGCTGGTGGCTCAGGGAAAACACATTGAGTCTCACCTTCCTCCTGACTGCCAGTCTTTATGCCCTTCGTTGGCCTTACACTCATAAGCATGGAGACAAGAGATGTGAGGATGCAACCCAGACCAGAGCGTGCAAAATGGAGAGTAGAGTTGGAAAGATGAACCAAAAGAGTTAGCACAGGGATTTTTTTATGTCACTATTGTGTGGAGCCCCATGGGTTATGGTTAGTTTCAGTAAGTCTTTAAATCTTCTAATCATCCATATCTGACCTACACGGCACAAGTGAATTGAGAACATTAACACTATGTAAATAGCCATCCTGGTATAAACTTTGAGACTTACACCATTTAATAAGTTACTAAATATTTTTTTTAATTTTCCTTGTTCAAAAGTTGAATATGAATATGCATTTTCCATTTGAAAAAAATCATTTTGTGAATTTAAGTTTTGTGAAAATAGAGGGCTGGAGAGATGCTGCTCAGTGGTTGAGAGCACTGGCTATTTTTCTAGGGGACCTGGGTTTGGTTCCCAGCACCTATATGGTGGCTAACAACCATCTAAAACTCCAGTTCCAAGGGATCTAATGCCCTCTTCTGGCCTCCGGAGGCATTGCACGACACAGGTGCACTTACATACATGCAGACAAAAACACTCATACCCATAAAATAAATAAATAGTAAATTTATAAATCTACTGAAAATAGAATCCCTATATCTGACTTGTTCATGATCAATTTGCCTGGATCAGCTCTTATAATTTATTTATTTTTATTTTATGTGTATAAGAATTTTGCCTGCATGTATACAAGTTCACCATGTCATGCAATACCCACAAAGACTAGAAGAGTGTCAGATCCCCTGGAACTGGAGTTAGGGGCAGTTTTAGCTGCCATGTGGGTGCTAGGCACTGAGCCCATGTCCTCTGCAACAGCAGTTAGTGCTCTTAACCACTGAACCATCTCTCTAGCCCCTGCCTAGAATTTCTGTTTTTTCTTCTTTAACCAACATCTTGGCACACAAACATTGACAATATCAGACTTCATTGGATAGTTCCATACACAAATTACACAGTCAGTCCTGGTTAACAAAGCAAAACAAAAAGACATGAACATGGGAAAGGGGCCTGTAGGAAAGAGGGGGTGGTCGATGTGGTGGGAGGGAGATAACAGAGGATGGGTGAGAAAATCAGAATGCATTACAGATATGCATGAAATGGTCAAAGGACAAATTTAATTAATAAAACAATTATAAAATTAAATTAACTAGAAATTACTTCAAAACAAATTTAACTTACTCTACTTCAAGTAAGACTATTGCCAAATAATTTCAGATATGTGAAAATCTATTTTTAAATTGCATCACCTCTGTAGTGTGTTAAATGGTGTTCTTCTGAAAGATATGTCCCTGTCCTAATCCTGGGGACTTGTGGCTGTTACCTTATCTAGAAAAAAATGTCCTGGCAGACTTACTGAAATTTGAGACCGTGGAATGAAGAGATTATCCAAGTAGGCCCTAAATCCAATGACAAAGGTCCTTTTTGAGAAGAGAGAAGGTAGCGACATACAGAGAAGGTGGTATGAAGGAAGAAAAACACAGCCTCAGTACTGTCTTCTGGTGAGTTTGCAGTATTTCCTCAGTGTCATAGGTAGAACTGTGTCCCAAAGAAAGGTAAATTCAAGTGCTAATCCCTGATTCCTCAACTGTGACCTTATCTGGAAATAGTCTTTGAAGATGTCGTCAATTTTTAGTAGTCCTGGTTAGTTTTTTTTTCTTAACTTTTTAAAAAACTTTATTGAGAATTTTATACATGCATATAAGTGTCTTTATCAAATCCATGCCCACTCTCTCCCCTCCAACTCCTCCCATATCTCCCCATCTTTTCTCTGACAACTTTTGTCTTTCCTTCTTTGTTTCTTTCTTTTCTTTCTTTTTTAAATGGGGCTTTTTGTTACTCTAACATTACCTCTCTGAAGAGGTAACCCTAAAATCTTTTAGGGATTTTTATACATGCATATAAGTGTCTTTATCAAATCCATGCCCACTCTCTCCCCTCCAACTCCTCCCATATCTCCCCATCTTTTCTCTGACAACTTTTGTCTTTCCTTCTTTGTTTCTTTCTTTTCTTTCTTTTTTAAATGGGGCTTTTTGTTACTCTAACATTACCTCTCTGAAGAGGTAACCCTAAAATCTTTTAGGGATTAGATATTAGATAAAAGTCAGAACAGGGCAAATTTCAAATGTTCATATCAGAGTCCATTGGGATTTCTTGATGAGAGCTTCCAAAAGCATCCCTCTATTGGGTTCCTCCTCATTTTTCTTTTGTCTTCCAAGTCTGGACTCTAGAGTGATGGATTTTGGATTTGCTTTCAGGTATTTTGATAGCTGTTGGAGTGGTTAGAATCAGTGTCAGTTCCCTCCCAAAGGCTTATAGATAGGGGGAGAAAATGAATTTGGCCATCGTTTTAGAACAATAGTGGGTTGTGTCCCTTAGCTACAGATGGGCACTATAGTATTGCAAACCAATACTGAGCAGCACTTTCTGATTAGAAACAAAATCATCAATGAGAAATAATTGTCTAAATAACTTTTTATATGGACTTAAGCCTAATATTAGTCGGGAAAGTGTAATCCCTTGAACTCTTAAAGAAATATACTGATGATTTACTCTTTGGTATACTTTCCTTTTTGGTGTTTAAGATCATTCAGTTGGCTCCTGGCTCCTTTCTTTTACCAGTTCTATCTATGTGAAGATAAGTCAAAGGTCCTGCTTG